GAGTTAAACCCACAGCGCATGCAGAGGTGGCAGGAAGGCCCAAGTCCTTCAATGGACACAGGGGGGCGCATGCTGGCTTCCATCTCTGCAGCTCTTGTCTGCACACAGATAAGGTGGTGGGGCTGTAATAACTCTGCACTGCAAACAGCACCCCTGCTCCCAGCTCACAGGGCTGACAACACTCCACACAGCTGACCCCACCCCAGAAGAGCTCTCTCACGTGAGAAGAGGCTTGCTCCAGTATCCCAGCAGGAGTGCCGAACTCACCAGCAGGCTGGACTGATGATGTGAAGGATGCTGGGGAGGTCGAAGCCACAGAACCGCGAGGCGCAGGAGAGCGAGTAGGCACCTCGGTCTCTGAACAGCAGCCAGGCTCCCAGCTCCAGCTCCGGCAGCACCCAGCCCTCTCCCAGCAGGTCCAAAGAGTCACAGGTGGGACCCCAGACAGTGGAGGGGTGCAGGGCTCGGCCTGCCCAGGGCTGACAGAAAACACACACTGCGTTCAGGAGAGCTGAGGAGTGTGAGAGTGTGCAAGTATGTGAACTTGTGTGTATGTTAAAATGGGTGTGTAAGTGGGTGGAAATGTGCTAGTGTGTGTGAGTGTGCGTGTGTTAGCGTTCAGCACATCCCTCTGCACAATTAGAGCAGCCAGAAGCAGGCATCGCAGGAACTCTGTCTCTTCACGCCTGAAGGAAGGACAGTTTGTTCATGTGGTCCAGATCCTCACCAGTCCTGTGTCTGTTCAAGGCAGCCCCAGCGCTGGCTGGAGACAGAGCTCAGGGGCTCTTGGGGACGGAAGGAGGACGAGCTGCCAGCCCTGGTTGTACACTCACCGCGGACGGCTGGGGCTCCACGCGCTGGACTAGATCGTGCACTAGGCAGCTCAGGGAGCCGTAGAGCCCATCGTTCAGGTAGTACATCATCCTCCTCTCCCCTGGGGTCAGGACCGGACAGGAGCCTGCTGCCCAAACAGACACCAAGCACGTTTGAAAGCGCCGGAGAACTGCCGGCAATACCTGACATTTTCTGAGATCTGCTCAGAGCCCTCTAGGCCATGTTTTGGGAAAGACTTTAAACTCTAATTTAGTTTCCTTCCTCAATGTCCTGAGACAGAATGCACTGGACTGCCTGCCTTGCTGGAGACGAGCACCTCCTCTGCTCCTCTGCTCACACACCTGCGGAGAGGAACACAGCCCACAGTGGTGCGGAACTGAGCTTGGATTGTGTCCCCTCACATGGACTCCAGCTGCTCGTTCCCTGCTGGGAATTTGAAATCTAACCCTCTGGACAGGCTCACCCCTAGCGGACTCTGGGCTTGGGGAGACCTCCTTCTTCCCGGTCACGTTGGCCGCCAGAGTGAAGGCCGATGTCACGTAGTACCGGCCTGGCTCGG